TATAAACATCCCATCTTTGACGAGGCAAAAGCAAAACGCACGTCACTCGAATGACGAGGCAAACGCAAAACACACGTTATACCCACCAAAAAAAAAGTCTGCTGGGATCCCCTGCTGCTGCTATATTAATATCTGACAAATATTTTTTTGATAAAAAATTTTTTGAAAAGAAAAACAAGCTTTTAATATTTTGCTAACACAGCATGCATTCATGTTGTACTCTATTATGTCTTGTATCGGTAATAAAAAATTGCAAAGATACAAATAATTAACTTACAAAATATAGCTTGTTTTTGTTATTACTGGTCGCAAAATCTCATATCGACTATTAGTTAGCCAACGCTAGCGTTAAAGTTTTTTTGAAATGCACGGAGATGGTACTACTGTAGTTTTTTGTTTTTGTGCTATGTAAGTCACAACAAACTTTTTAATTCAAAATGTAGAACGCTCTGGTGCTATAAACTTGTAATATAATAACTATAACTAGTAATCTATTACAATTAATTGAGTAAAATGACGTAAAGTTGTTGTTTACATAGTTCATAATAATTTAAATAAAAAATTTTATGTGTTGTAAAGGCCTATGTTGCAGAAAAATAAATCGAGACAATTCTTTATAACTGAATGTCGAAATCTGATCACAAAGTATCAAATTAATCTAATAAAGATTGGAATTTTTAATTTTATGGTCGTCGCCTCGGACTTGTGCCTAAAAAGCGAATTTTTTTGTTGTCCTGTGTTGATACTAATACGTAGTACACACGGCACTTTCCACGAATAACTGTTGATGTAAATAAGTGCCATTCGTAATAGCCTGCAGTTGATATATAGTTATACTTTTTAATCCTACATTTCCTTTTTTTATGTAATCGGAGAAATGGAGAATGGTTTCTGCCATAACCGATGTGTATAGACGTGAAAAGAGTATACGCATCAACAATAACAACAATGATATTAATATAACCTGTAAAATGTTATTAATACACATGCACAGTAATTACATGTAATTGAAAACGTGATCTCTTTTCGATGGTTCCACGGAGGCGATTGCTATGTTAAAGGCTGAAAAAAATCTAACTTGATATTGACATACTCAGGCACTCAAAACTTTAAGAGCGATTGCCAATATTAAATTAGTTAGAATCACATGCCAGATCAGCAGTGTGCGGGGATTGCAACCCAAATTTGGAAGGCTTTTATAACTGTCTCCAGAAAGCCCTCCAAGTCATAGTTAACCCGTTTTGTAGTTCTTGTCACGGGACTTTGGCTTAAAAATGGGTCATAACGCACATAAAAGACTGACTTTTTATATCCAAGTAACTTATATTCAGAAAAGCTTTCGTAATGTTGAAGCCACGGGATAGTCGAAAGTTTGATATAGTACTGTTCGGCGCGACTGGTTTCACTGGAAAAAGAGTTGCTGAATATCTCGCCCTCAATGGACCACAAGTAAACACTATTTCTTTATGACAATATGTGTGGCGACGATAAATCAACTTCCAATTAACCTTATTATTTGTATTACTTGCGCGCATTACAAACAATGCATTTCTTCCTCACTGGACATGTTATGAAAGGACTTGAAGTGGTCCTTGGCTGGAAGATCTCGCGCAAAACTCGAAACACTAAAGAAAAGTCTCGTCGATATCAATCCAAAGTCTTCAAACATTGATGTAGTTACGGCCGACGTAAATGATAAATCTTCTCTACACGAGGTTATCGGCGATGCAAGAGTCGTAATCACAACCGTTGGTCCATACACAAAATACGGAACTCCTGTCGTGGAAGCTTGTGTTCATAATAAAACTGATTATGTCGACATTACCGGGGAAACAACGTGGATCAAAAAGATCGTTGAACAATTCCATATGACGGCAGAAAGCTGCGGCACGATCATAGTCCCTAGCTGCGGATTTGACAGTGTTCCAAGTGATATTGGTACTCTTATGGTCGTTGATTTCATCAAGAAACAATGGGACCGGGACACTGGAGAAGTAAAGGGTACGATAAAATGGCTTAAAGGTGGAATCAGTGGTGGTACCATCCATAGTTCATTGGCTGTGGTGGAGGAACCTTGGGGTGCAATCGAGATGTTTACAGATCCATACTTTATATCGCCAGGTAAACCAAGTCGATTTCGATAACTTGTTGACATCGGGCGTAAATTAACATTTATTTGACACCCCTTGCTTTACATATAGTTGCTGGTCAGCAAGGTTTTTCGCTTCCATTATATTACGACTCTGACTTTGGAAAATGGCAAGGACCACACTTTCTCGCAACTAGTAATGAAAGACTGGTTCAACGCTCGTACGGGCTCAAGTCAGTTGCAGGCCATTCATATGGGAAATTTTTTTCCTATCGGTAAGAGAAGTTACATTGATCATTAGAATTTTGAGTTTGAGTCTATTCGGTGACTAATAATATGAGAAAACGTCGATTTTCCCCTAGCGAATACTTTTCATACGGGAATATCTTAACAGCATTATTGGCAACAATCGGGTGGTCCTTCATGAGCGCGATCTTGTTTATACCTCCAGTGCAGTGGATACTACGGAAATATGCACCAGGACCAGGAAGTGGTCCAACGAAAGAGCAAATTGAAAAGGGAGGATTTGAATGTCAATACATCGGAGAAGCGTGCATTGAGGTAAAAGTTTTAAATAAAAGTGTGTGGTTCATCCAAACTCAAATCTCATCCAATTTTATTTTTTCTCAAAGCCCTACGAAAAGTCAATGAAAGCAATATCAAAAGTGAAGGGTTTCAAAGGTATGTATTAGGAGTTTTTACGTGCCTAAGATGGGCTTGTGACGCTTGCAACGCTTGCAATTAACGCTTTGTTCATTACCTCTTTCAGATCCTGGGTATGGCGAGACCGCCAAAATGGTTAGTGAATGTGCTCTAGCACTTGTGTATGATCGTCAGCGTATACCTGGTAAAGGAGGTATTATGACGCCGGCCACGGCATTTGGTCACGTACTGGTTGAAAGATTAAATGCTGCCGGAATGGAGCTGTCTGTGGAAGCGCTAACCAAGTCAAAGGACGATTAGTATAGTTGAACAGTTTAACTAAATGACGGTAGATTATCGGCTCTATTGAAGTATCAATTATCACCTCGTAAGAATGATTTTATTATTGTTCATTTGCATTTAGCTCTTATTCGAACATTGATTATTTATAATCTTATATAATATATAATATGGACACCAACATGCGCATTTTCAATAACCTAAAATGAGCACGTTTGAAATGGTTTTTTGTATTTTTAATGTGTCACATCTCCTCAAATCGTAGATGGGAGCGTTTAATTATTCACTGTCGCAAGACCGAGACACGCTTTTCGTGCAGGCGATCGTATGCGCAAATCATGGTTCATGTTGTATAAAAACCCCTCGAGTTAAAAGAAGAAAATGAGCTTTATTTGTAGACCATATGTTACCATAAAATTTTCACTGAAAAAAAAGTTGTACAAAAGTCAAAATTGGTAAACACACATGTATTTACGCGCCGTTTATCTATTATGATTGGAGCAGAATTTTACTAATGTGTCGGTAGCAACTTTTAGTAATTAAAATCAATTCCTAGAAAGGCGGATAAAACAAATCACAATGAGTCTATTGATATATCCAGTAGAATAAGCGCGATCTATAGCCATTATCACACAAATAAAAATGCAAGGCTTTTTTTTCTTCAATGGAGTGCGTTATAACTCTGTCCATTTAGATGAATCTGCATGCATTATGAAGACGTACAATATCCAACAACAATGTCAAGTTCCATAAGCTAATACTAACATGACTTTTATTGCGAAAAGCGAATGTCATTTATAAATGTTCATTCCCATTCTTTGTCTTAATTACGACTGTAAATGGTTCAAGAAAGCCTCAGAGCATCTTGAGACATGTTGAAAGCTTGTCTCAAAATCAAGTACACTTCCATAGTAAGGATCACTAATAATGCGTTCGCCCTCTGGATCGAAGTCGCCGAACAACTGAACTATAGCTTGCGATCCTTCTGGTCTGATTTCATTCAAGCTTGCTAAATTACTTTCATCCATACAGAGAAGATAATCAAATCTGTAAAAGTCTTCGGTGGTGACCTGGTACAATTTAGGATGGGAACGTCAAGAGAACGAAGAGAATTTGAGATGATTAATGGGGGAAAATTGGGAAACTTACTTGTCGACCAGTGTGATTCACCGGGACCCCGTGTTGACGACAGGTTGAAATTGTTCGAGAATCTAAAGTGAAATTGCGTTAATTATCTACTCTCACATCAGACAAAAGCTTATTGTTGGAATTATTGCCTGGTCGGTCTCCAACATGATAGTTCGACGTCCCAGCGCTGTCTACTTCGAATTGGTCTTCTAGACCGTTTTGTCGTAACATGTGAGTAAACACTGCCTCTGCCATAGGGCTATATTGAGCAATTAGTGGTTTTGTCATTGACCCGAAATACGGACCCGCCTCTCCATCAAGCATTCTATTATTATTACTATTATATCAGCAAGACCAGTGCTTTCCTACCTACGACAAATATTCCCTGATATCGGAAGAATTAGTTTTAGTAAACCGAGGCGATAATAAACTTCATATTATCGATGAGATACGAAAACAAACCTAAGCAAACGAACAAAATGCGAGTCCTTTCGTCTGTCATCTCTATCAGTCGTACTGGAACTTTCGGATGAAGATGTTACTTGCTTTTTGATGCTGTTGCACAAATTGTTGAATAACTAATCATAATCATTTCGACAAGAGTGATAGACGTTGGATGACCTTTTTTTTTTAATAAAACTTACAATTAGTCATCCCAAGATATTAGTACGAATAAGAAATTTTGGCTACAATTAGTAAAGCTTGAATTTCAGAAGATGTCAACGAGTCGAAATTTATTACGTCTAACAATACAATGACGTATGTCTCTGAAAGGATATCTTAATTAATCTGATCTTGTAGATACAATTAACATTGATACGTAACTAAGGGTGGCTAGAAAATTATATGCAAGCAATCATTATGTAATCAAACCAGGCATTTTCTTCGGACAATTACATTGCGCGAAATACTAGTAATATTTGAGCAAGTGTTTATCGACCAAATGATTAAACTTTTTGGTCCCGAATAAGCTAAAAAATGAGACCAGATTTATGTCACTGTGTTATTATTTTTTTTCTAATAAACAAATATAATAAATTAATCCTTTGAACACGTAAATTCAAGGTTGACAACCGAACGAAAAAGAAAAATGGGCAATGTTGGTTTTGAAGAATCGCTCGCTCAGCGTGTACAGAATAAGGCAAAGGTAACGTGTAAAACATTATTGACGTCCTCCTCTCTAATTATCAATCCCCGCTATTAGTGACTGATGATATTAACATGACTTGTTATTATACAATTTCCAACAACATCAATATAATCTGTATTAATATTTTCTACAATTAGTACAATTCACAGATTCTAAAGGCAAAAGGAAATACGGGACACAAGGTAATGGCAACGGACATTTTTAACACTAATATTTGTTGGTTATACTACCATGAAGGAATATTTTTATTGGACATCCAATACTAACCAAAAGATACTGATAGTGATGTTGGATATTGTGCTTTATGAATTAACCTCAAAGAAGTGGCGTGTTTGTGGAAGGTGAATTTTTATCAGAGTAACGCTGCAGTTGGTAATCACATACAATGTTTGCAGGTATCAATTGTAACGCGATGGGCTAACATGAAAGTTCTTCTCATCATGTTTCTCATTATGGGACGAGCATAATTGTATTAGCCGTTACGCATGCGAGTTGCCGCGATAAAATTCCCGATAATAATAACTTTTCCTATTCCTACTAAAATTCAGGGAAGTCTAACCAATGATTGATATTTCGCTTGGCGTTGTATCTTAGTTCAGCGTTTAAGGTTAACTCTTCGCTATGCGTTGAAGCGTAATCTAAATGCAACAGAATATAAGTAACTCGTTGAAAATGTGACATTGTCATATATCCTTGGTTGAGATCGAGGCGAGACGTTATTGTTATCCATACTTTCAAGTTGGTGGTGATGACACTGTACGTTGTAATTAAATTTCTTCTTCAATAGGTTAAGTGAGATAAACTCTGGCGAATGTCGAGTCTTTTCGTTTATCCAACCGTATCGTAGACACTAGACCGTAATCGAAATTTGCCACTCTAAATGTCGTATTGTCGTCATTACACTCTTACCATCGGCCATGTTGGCTATTAAAATGATTGCTATGCCACGAAGGAACACATAGTGAAGCTACTCGTTACGAGCCGACGAAAAGACTCGCCCAGTTTTGGATACCAGTAATAATATTAAACACACAACATCTTTAACTCTCATTCCTTTGTCGCGTGCCCTTGTACCATGGATTGATTGCCTTCAGCGAACGTATCGCTCCGTTGTAAGTAGACCATTAGTTTTCTTAGCGATTACATTCCGTTGTATAAACAGGACACAATAATCGTTTTCTGCAATAAGCCGATCGATTAAATTTCTCGTCATATTGCACCATTGTGACACGGATGTTTACACCGTATTTAGTGGCAACGGATTCTCTCGCGTCTTCATGCTCTCGTTCTTGTTGTCACAACAAAGCCTATCCCTTTAGTCGTTTTAGTATACATGCACTTGTGAGTGATGTTTCAAGAGGACATACATTCGTTCTCTTCTTGCACTGGCAAGCGCAAGAATCCTTTCGGAGACTCTTCTGTTATCACTCAGAAGAACCCACGCTCAGGAATGGAAGTCTTTGGTGAGTCCCTGCAAGATCATAAATTTTTGACTGTTTAATGTTGTATTAATGAACACTTATGCGTGCTAGAGTATACTAAGCTATTACTAATGGCTGGCCAACAAAAACTGCATCGTGAAGAAAAGCTAAAGAAACTGGGACAAAATCCGCAGTCTCTGCTTCCTAGATGCCATGCTTCGTCGTCGGTCGAGCATTGTTCATTCTGCGATCGCAATGTCTGTCTACAATGTCAGGTGTCCTGCGAACGATGCCAGGAAGTCTTTTGCAGCTATTGTTCTACGATAAAGTATCCTTCAGATATTGACTAGACGATAATTATGGTAATGTGATATGTAACTGGTTTTATTATCCTTGACCCGTATAATTACAGTTACGACCAACGAGAAGAGAGAAAATTCTGCTTAAACTGTATTAGATTATATTAGATTATGAGATTACGGATGAGTAATAAAGAAGTCTACCACTACTGACGTCTTTGTCCTCACAAATAAAATGAATCGATAACATGACTAATGCATTCCTTCAAGTTGTTTCTATTCTCATACACGGGAGAGAAGGCTGGGAGATTTACCGTCTCCGCCAAGGTATAAATCTGAAAACCGGAATTGACAAGTGTGATGGAATAGAACCAAACAATTTTTTTTCGGATTATTTTTATCCTGGACCTTTACGAAATATCTCTACTGCTTATGATCAGTGAAAGCAAATCAGAAGTTTTATATATACTGTTGCGTTTCTATCGAATTCAAATCTGCAGATTACCAAATAACCAAAGACAAAACTAGCAGGCCATATCATCAAGAAACCAAGAATTTGTTTCACCTTCTTTAGGCATGCACATTAATCGCATCAATACTAGATGAAAACATACACACACATATACACACAAAAAATAAGCGAGCTACAGCCTTTGTCGTGTCAATCGGATATCAAAACAGTATGGGAAGAATATACTCAAACGCAATGATATAACTGTTTTTGGTCACTCAATCGCAATTAAAAATTCATTACGAATATTACTGGTTTTGATCGGTTCTCCGACGACGCTTCTACATCAACCCAACTTTGCAAGTGTCAAACATGATTATCTGGCGAACAAATCAACCATAATAGGGTTTGCTCTCTGGGCAAATCTTATAAACAAATCAGCATGCTATTCGATCTTTGAACCTAAACTGACTATTGCATCTGAAGATACCATTGAACGTATTAAGGATGTTGATATCGCAGGTGTTGGACTTGTCGAGCTGACCAAAATAGGTGTCTTTTTTATCGCAAAATTCAAAGTAAAATTCGAATAACGAAGACGTCGTTCGCTGTAAAAGATCACGTACGCGTTATATTGTGTTTATAAATTTTAGTTTTACCGTTTACGATAAAGCATGTCATTGTTATAATTTATTACTTGACAATGTGCAAAAAACAATAGCCATCGTTGATTGTGCAGTTAACTTCCCTGTATAGTCATACGGTCGAGACCTGCCAAAGTCAATACTCCAAGGAAGATTCTCCGAGGCGTTTCCCATATTAACAAAAAGATTAACAAAATTTTGCAAAGCCAGCAGAAACAGCACAAAAATCGCAATATACATATGACGAGCTTCCCGCCTCGATCAAAAATTGATTTCAATTCGACCAGTAGCCGCGGGGTATATAGTCCCACGAAAGAAAAAGAGCAAAATATTAATATGCACGCTACAGTGATGCAAAGACCAGACACTTTTTTTCCTAACCAGCTGGATGGGGTGTAGCGCATTTGCCGTTTTGCGTAAAAATGCTAAATTTTAAATCACGTTCCTTGATATTGTTATTTTACCGACGAGACAGTGATCCCATGTATTTGCATTTTCAACTTGTAATAGGATTCTCCCAACATTCTGATATAGTTAAAGCATTTGCATTTAATATGGTAAAGAACAACAAGTACTTACCCCGATATTACGCTCCCTTAAAGCTTCTTCAGGTAATCTGCTGTTGGCATATTGTCATGAACGCGTTTGTAAACTTTTAAATGAAAAAAAGGTGCGGGCATGTGACTCCGGAGGTATTGAACACTGATGTATGTGCCAGGTTATGTTTTGTCTGAAAGTATGTTAAATGGTTTTCCTTTTTTGGATAAAATATTCGGTTACAGTTAAGCGATCCCTGTTAAAATGTATTATTTTAACGTAGAAATATTCACAAGTTTTGGTTTTAGGTGTTTGTTATCACTTACCATTTATATACCTAATTGTGGCTGTATCGACTGTATAATGCTGTAACTTTGTGGCTTGATATTGTTGTACACGTTGCATTATTATATAAGAAAAAAAAGGCTTACACGCGTTCAGACGCATTTCTTTCATAATGTCTACTTTAGAAGACATTACCGCGCAACGCATACAAAGGCGTATTAACAAAATACTGCAACGTGAACGAATGCGCCCTCCGGCACTCGTTTCAGAACTAACTTACCGGCTTCCGTTTCTGTTACCTCTTCCTCAACCGAAGCTGTATCTAGAGCGGCAAAATCAACAGTTGCAACGGCTGCAGTTGCAACAACGCCGACAGCAAGCAAAATCAAGCATGCTGCAAGTACGGTTGAAACAAAAACAGATACAAATCAGTCAAGTGAAGCAACGACGGATAATGTTGCGTCTGGAGTTGGAATCGCAAAATTATCATTTAAATCGTGGTCTATTGCAAATCCAGCAGTTACAGGCAAAACTGCAGCAGCTACAAAACACGCGAAAACATTTCCAGCAACAACTGGAACAGACATGGTGGCGTCGATGGTGGAAACTATGGCGAGAGCGTTGAGTGAGTAAATAGTTCCAATGTCTGTAGATGCTCCAGCCTACCATTCACTTTTTAACGAGGATGAAATGCACATTTTTATTACAAAAATGTTGGTTTAGGTCGATCGTGACTGTAGCTATACTCGTACTAAAATGCAGAATTTAATTTCCAGACAGTAAACATCGAGACATCTCGAGCAGCACTGTACAGTGCCAAGACAAACCAGAAACATAATATCATACTGTAACAGCAATCAGCGTACCGATAAAGATGCGCTGGGAAAATAATTCCAATTCCAAGACAAACTTTCTTGGGAGTAAAGCATGATTAAATATAATGTACAAAGTCTTTGATCTTATATTGGTTTGTGAGCATGTAACATAAGTGTAATCAAGGTGTGCTGAGAGAACAGTTATTGAGTCGTAAACTCATAAAGGTGACATAAGTGAATGTTGAGTACTAATCGCTCAAGAACGAAATGTTCATGTCTAATTTTGTGTAGGCAATATTAAGATAATTAAATATTCGGATTGTTGGTTGTTGCCAGTTTATATTGCCGAACTTTCGGTGGCAGTCGCATCTACACTTCACTTTGATGATCAAAGACCTTACCGATAACCTTGCAATATTAAATAATCTTCGCCTTTTATTAACTCATATTTCACAGTCTCAATCGTTTCTTATAGGTGTTGTCATAGCAAACGCTAAATACTCAGTTGCATACGAATGGTACTGTGACGTTCTATAAATTTGCGGGTAATATACAAGTCGACACTTGTTGAGAATGTCATATCAATTAAAATCAATATAGTGTTATTCACAAATCATGGCGGTTCGAAAGTCGGATCCTATGGCAATTGATTCGACACAGAAATACAAAACACCGTGCAACTATAAAGACTGAGGAAGCAGCCTATTTGCTAAGGAAGTATGTTTCATAAGAGGTGTCCACTTATTAAAGCAATTTCTTATAAGGCTACCGGATATTTTGAATGAACAAGCATACGTTTATAACATGATGCTGGTGTTTATGGTTTGAATAATAATTATGAAACGCATGTATGGCAGCGATGATACTGATGTGCTAACGGTTAGCCTAGATTAAGTACGAATAAAAGGTCTCAATATAAATAGCTCATCGTCCTTACCATATTTGAAAATACAAAATTTTAGTTGCCAAAATAGTCAGGGGTGATGGACGTAGTGAACTGTCTTACTTTTAGAAAAGGTGATACCATATATAGTAAATCAGTATAATTTGGGGACTACTTTATACTTGTGCAACAAAATTCGCGCGTACCGTTAAAAAGTTTTTCACGTATCGCGTTCATTCCACACTTTCAATACTAACACCTATACCTGAAATGGGGCAGACTGCAACAAAACCAGACAAAGTGAACATTCTGTAAATGAGGGGCTGGTTATGATGTGACTGTAAAATTGACCAGGGTGAATGATGACGTTTTGAAGAAAGAATGGTGCTTATGGACTTGTTAATTTTAATGCTCT